TTTCAGACCAAATTGCACTCCACTCAGTTCAATTACCATTATTAATTGTGTTTATCTCAATAGCTAGTATCTAGTGGACTTACTGAGCAATAAGGATAACAAAATAGAATAACAAGCGCTCTAAAGGCGCATGTGTCTTCTGCAAAGCACAGAGATATATTACAGACATAACGTAAGTTTAAACTGAAGATAGGTAATAGGATTTAAGGCATTTTACTATTGGTATATTTGAAATGGGGAAAAAATTACTGAATATCGTATGTTGCTATCAATTGCCTATGTGGGGGTAAATTTTGCAATTTTAGATAATGAATAGGGTTGAATAAACAGGGATATGAGATGGGGGATCATTGGTTTGGATGATATGGTGTTATAAACAATATATTTATTGGTATGAAAGTATATTCTTGAGGAACACGATATCGAAAGATAGAAATCGGGAATCAGGGCAGTCTAGTATGACGGCGTTTGTCTTTGGTTGAGCAGGGTGTGGAAGTTTTTAAAATAGTAAGGCTCAAGAGAGACATATAAAAAAAAGATTCATTTTATTTGGAAGTATAAGGTATCAAATTAAAWGTGCTTTTGATACTTAGTCATATAAAGAAGACCGCACTCGCTTTCTCTCCAAATAACGTTGTCTTGCTGCCTCTATGGTATCACTTGTGCTTCTCTTAGCCAAACTAAGATGGTCTCCTAGCAACGAAACGAAGATATTTGTTCATTCAGTATACACATTAGTATCCGTGAAAAACATTTTAAGCAAAAAAAAAAAAAAAAAAAAAAAAAAAATTAAAAAAAAAAAAAAAAAAAAAAAAAAAAAAATCGGTGTGGAAATGTAAAAAAGTCAACGGCAGCAACTTATCAGTAACATATAAGCAAAAATTGATGAGGACGATGGGGCAGCGGCGCCTCTTTCGTATTAAAAATTTTCGTATTTATTTGTCTGAAATATCTCCTGAATCCCAAGAAATAGAATTTCTGGAAATCATATTTTAAAAATTTCCTTGTCAGGCAGTGGTGAGATTCGATCAATCCCCCCCCCCTCCCCCCTACACACACACCTTCTCGAATTTCTTAATCTGCCCTGGGAAACACTGTTCACATATAAAAGGAAAGCGAATCTAATCAAATGTACCTTGAGCTGTGCCAGGACATTCCTTGTCTTTGTTTGTTTCGCTGCAAGCAGCGAACGACTTGGTATTTTCTTCTGATAGCTGATCTTCTCTTGTCCAACCCGATAAAATGTAAGCATTTGCTTCATGCAACCGAGGCATTAAATCCTTAATCCATTCATATCGTATCTAAAATTCAAACCCAATAAATAAATAAATAAATCAAGTCATTGAAATTTAAAATAATCATAATCTTCTATGTAAACGTATATGAGATTTTGCCCGCATGCTGTTGCTTTACAATATAACACAGGGTCTCCTTGCACATCAAATCAACCCCCTTTAAACCTTTAAGTAATCATTAGTAAAGGCCAGAGACTGAGGGTGGTCACTGACAGGGTTTCCTTACGTACAGGGTGAGGTATCATGACGCCGAGAGATTTTAATCATTTGTGGGCGATGTTAATATACTTTCTCATTTGATATTATCTAATTTCTAAACAAGATTTAAAAGTAATAACCTTAAATAACCTTACCGGACACACAGTTTTGACGTATATTTTTGAAGTACATATAATGTCGTTGAAGATAATCCAGTCAAGCTGATCTTCGCACCCGAAAAGCTAAAAGCAGAGAGGGAAAGCGGATTTAGTAAGTTTAAGAAAGATTAATGAAACTATTAAAGAGTTTTAGATTTACGTTCAAGATAACTGTGAATGTCAATTGACCAGTGAAAAATTCTTTTAAATTACTGAAAATGAACACGGTGAAATAAATCGCAAAAAAAATCCAAGAAGTAGAAAAACAAAAAAGTAAAAAAAGGTGTGATAGTTTTCAATAGCCAAAATAAAATTACAGGAAAACGATCAAAACGTGGTCACGTTTGCCGTTTACGGGAAGAACAAAATGTCAATCTAAAAATAGACTAAAAACTAAACTAAAGTTAAAGTTTTCATTACATTTATTGCTTTTTCGCGAAAGTATCAAAATCACCACTTTTGTTCTGCTTCAGCTTAGCAGAAGCAGTAAGCAGGAGGTCGAAATTGGTTCTCGTCCGAGTCCCACGCCCATAAAAGATTTGACCAAACATAAAACCTATACAGCGCGAACAATGTGTGAAAGACATCTGCGAGGAAGAGCCAATTAAAGAGTTTAGAAAATGAATCTCTCATCCTCGGAATCATTATTTTGGTCAAGTTTTTTTTGGGAGTTCGAGGTCTAAAAGACGGAGAAATCCTGGACGAAATAGTGTTGTGTTTGCAAGATGGCGGCGTGAACTTTCTACCCTTACAAAAGTATTTATGTAGTATATCGTCTACATAGGATATCATAGGGAAATTATATAAGAAAACAAAGGCGCGCAAGAAAAAAAAATTCAGAAGCATTTTTTATTGATTTTATTGACCTTTTTGTACTACGGAGGACCTTATCTTAACCTCAAATTTTTAAAAAGATAATTAATTATTAATTTTTTCCTGATTAATTTTATTTCCAAATTCACTTTTATCTAAATAGGACTCCCTGTGTGATAAAACACGATTGGAGCTGTGAGACACGAAGAGTTTAAGAAGACACGAGCCTTTTGCGAGCTCAATCACAGCGCCAGCTATTGACAAGCTTAGTTAGCAACCTGTTTAGTGATAGAAGCAATATTTGTTGCTAGATGGACTTCCCTAGTAATATCCTCTGATTATGTATCGTACTTTTGTAAACAAATTACGAAATAGACATAAACGCAACCAACATCAGGAAGTGTGATGCTAGAACAAACAGAAGACATGCTGGACCACAGGGAGCCCAATTTAAAGTAAATGGTGAAAATATAACCGGAAAAATTAAATAATTCTGACAAGTGTCAGAATATATATACATAAGATCGACATCAGATACCATAGGGAAATTATATAGGAAAACAAAGGCACGCGCGAAAAAAAAATGTTCTGGTGCATTTTTTATTGATCTTTTACTCCTTCACATTACGGAGGACATCTTGATCTCGAACTTAAAAATTTATTAATTATTTGATTTTCCCGATTTTATTTTCAACATTCACTTTAATCTAAATTGGGCTTCCTGTGGCTGAACTAGTCAATTCTGCGATAAATAGACTATTAAGGGTAATTTAGGCAACACGTTGGCCTAGCGAATATAATTTGCGGGAGGATACGATACCGTTGATGAAGGGTGGATAAAAACAGTAGTTCCATGACCATCCATTGTACGGAAACCTTTACCAAAGGTGCTGCACCTGTATGTAACAAAAACAAAAACAAAATTAATATTAATGATGATAATAATAATATACTGCAGTAAGCCTAATAAATTGAGATACAAAAATCGTAGAACAGCAAAATTTTTGATCATTACTTTCCTAAGGTCTAAGCAAGGAACAACAAAGGTAAATACAGTGAAATGCTTCATATTATGTAGTAACCCCTTTCCTTGATCAAAAAGCAACTGTCATGCACTTTTTTGTACAACGTATAGAATCAAAATAACATTAGAGAGTTTTAGATTTACGTTCACGGCAAGCGTGAAACGTCAGTTGACCATTTAAAAATTATTTTGAATAGCTTAAAAAGAATCGCAAAAAAGTCCAAGTAGTAGAAAAACAAAAGAATATTTGTCTTTGTTGAGAAGTTTTGTAAAAGGTAAAGTAAAATACACGAATTAAAACGATGAAAACGTGGTCACGTTTGCCGTTTGCGGGGAGAAAAAAAGTCAATCTAAAACTCTCTATTATTTCCAAATACGGTTATTAGCACATTAGCCGTTATGACCGGTGGGGGAGGGGGTTTAATTGATTTCATAGTAGAATCTATGAGCTATTTAATATGGAGTTATGTGTTACCATTACTGAGTTCTTTACGGCTGTAATCCTACCTGCGAGCTACATTACAAAAGAACCCTTCGCATAATGCTTGTCGAAGATGTTCTCGTCCAGCCTTTTTGCCACTTCGTGACGCAATTTTGTTTCTTGGTTTGTCATATTTTAGTTTCTAATCGATGAGAGTAGATAAATGGAATATTATTTGAACTCATGTGCATTTTTCTGGTAATTATTATTAGTTATCGTTCATAAAGGAAGTTCATAGTATCGATTTTTTGTAAGCCGGGCAAACATGCTGCATTTAGTTGTATCACAGTTCAAATTTCTGCAATAAAAAATATAGGACTACATGCCTGCCCAATTTGGAAATAATTGAATTTAAAAGATTCTTCTGACTGCCAAATTCGAATCGTCCAATTATCACTGTCCCCGGGATTTTTTATGCCCGATCATTGACAAATTGAATAGAATGTAGTCCTATTTAGTTCCTGTAAGTAGTATAGGGGATGGGGGTTCCAGCGCAACGACCACCGGAGGATTACCCGTCTAAAGTGAATTCCTCGATTCGTACCGCGATTACCCGCATCCCGTGTTTATGTAGTTAAATATGTTAGTCTATATATGGAGTGCGAAGATTGTAAGAGAACTTTTAAGAAAGAAGTGGACTTGAAGAAGCAATTGAAGATGAAGACGAAATGTATGAGCAGCTATAATTGTGGATGTGGTAAGAAGTTTGAGACTAAGGTTAAATTGTTTTGGCATTGTCAGGATTGTGAGTATGACTACGACGATCTGAAAAGG